ACTTTATAAACAGATATGAGGCCTCCCAGAATCAAGGAAAACCCAAGTCACATTTTTCATCTTTATGCATTTATCAAAACGAATGCCAGAGAAAAGCGTTAGAGTTCACTGCAGAGATTGCTTTCTTGGCTAGGAATGTTCAGAAGTTGCTGAGAGGCAGGGAAGATAGCAACCTGTTACACAGATAAGCCAGACTCAGGTTTTCTGGAAACAGATGGAAATTTCTAAACCCCTCCACCCTAGCTCTTGCCCCAGGCAGAACAGGAGAAGTCAGCTACATCAGTGAGGACTCCAAGGCACTGGGACTTGTCCCAGGCCATCTGCCTCAGTAAGTTGGGGTGGTTTCCAATCTGCTTTCCTTCAGAGCATCCCAAGGGTCCATGGACTGCACTGGGATGGCACAGGCTCTGGAGTTGCTGAGTCTTGGCTTCAGGTTTTTAAAAATGCTGCTGATTTGATCAAAAGTTAAGTCAGGACTCACCTGGCTGCACAGAACAGGTGTGCTAGTGGATGTTGAAGCCTGCAGCCCTGCTACTTCCAAAGAAAGGCTCGGTGGGCATGCCATTTATGCTCTCAGAGCTTCAGATATCTGTTCATATCTGGATCAAGTGGGAAATTTCTAGAAGGGAGTGAGAGCTTCCTTCATGACTCAGAAAGTCATGAGCTACACACAGAGCCTTCTTTCCAAGATGGCTGTGTCGGAACTGGAAGAGGACATCAAGATCATCTCGGGAACAGAGAGTGCAAGGCCCAGGGAGCTCTCCCCAGGGTACAGGAGAGAGATGGGAGAGAAATCTTGGCTGAGGCAGGACAGATCCTGGTAAGCTTTGGCATCAGGCAGAGGAGCCTTGATTCCAGGCATGAGTCGTAGCAGAAGCCACCCCAGGAACCATCAGGATGGGCTATTAGAAGCCATGGTGTCCCCCACTCTGGAGAATGAATGGGGTAGCTGCAAGTCTGCCCCATCACCCAACACCTCCTCAGTGTCTGTGTGTCTCCTGGGATGTGTGGCAGGAGTCAGTGACACAGACCTGCCTGGCCCAACAGAGCTCATGCCAAGTGGGAGAGTGGCCCCCTGCTGAGACAGAGTGGGATTAAGGAGGCAGACGGCAGCTGGGCACCAGTGGGTAGAGGACCGTATGGTCGGTGGAGGGAACACTGTGGTGCCCATTGGGGGGCTGAGGCTGTATCTTCTGGGCAGTGGGACCTCCAAAAGTTTTTGAATAGAGGATTGATATAATCAAAGCTGCTTTCAAAAGTAGGGTTCCTGGAGCTGCTTATATAATCAGTTACAACATATGTTCCCATTTCACACAGAGGGGGGATGACTTCCAGGTGTCTGTTCAGTGGGGTGGTGCCTGGTTCCTGAGCTGCACTGAGGACTTTGAGTGCAAGTCTTGAAGTGCTGTAGGGCCATGCCTGCTTTGAACTGTCAGCTTCCTCCTCAGCCTATAGCAGATTCTTGTGTTGGTGAAAATCATTTCAACTGTCACCTTCACTAAATTCCAGTATTCTGAAAATCTTCTTTCCAAGGAGTATTTGTACAGATTTTTCCGGCACAGTGCCAGTGCTAAGGCACACAGGGGCAGCAGGAATGAGCAGTGTCGCTGCAGCTCCCTTATCCCTTGCCTCCCTGGCTGGCCAGCCTCACACTTGCTGCACATTCGGAACTGAATAGGTAGAGCTACCCTCAGGCACAGGAGTCCAGAGGCAAGGAGGACTGGCTTGCCCGGCCCCCAGGGAGCTGCAGGAGTCCTCTTCCAGCCACAGCTCAGACGGCCCAGGGGGATAGAGGAGCAGAATGTCCTGTGCTCGGTGCCTCCCTCCCTCCTCACGTCAGGCTCCTTCCCTCTCTGCCTTCTAACCATCGTGAACCCAGAAAGTCATGAGCTGTAACCAGAGCCTCAGAGTTGCTGCTTGTTATTTATCCAGTTTTTTTCAGTTAATTTAGAAGAAATGGACAAAATATTTGGGAGTTACACTTTGTAAATTGGTCCACGTTTTAGCTTGGTGGTAAATAATGACAAGTATGCAAGGACATGCTCATCCAGGAGATTTTGGCCAGATTAATACTGAGAAAAAATACCACCTCAGGGCCAGCCAGAGAGCTCAGTGAATTAAAGCGCCTGCTTAGGCAGATGCAGGGACCAGGATTCGATTCCCAGCATGCTGTGCCAGCCCCATCTCCGGGGTGTGCTGAGGTGGCAATTGAGACTGGGTGTGATGGGGCGCACCTGTATTCCCAGCACTTGGGAGGCTGAAAAGCAAGAAGGATCACTACAGGTCTGATCTGTGTAGTGAGACCCTGTAGACCCTGTACTAAATATATTAAAAAAATAATAAGTACCATCTCCACCGTGAAGCCCCCAAACACATGTGCATACACACTTGTCTGTGCACACACAGGTGGTAGACTGAGCAGGTGTGCCTGGGACAGCTGTGGCAGAGCACCCAGTTAGTGCTCCTCATCTGCCTGGGAAGTCACAGTGACCTCAGAACCAGCAGAGGAGGTGATGAGGCGGGGAAGCTGCACAGGAGGAACCGTCTCGCTCTGTTTTAAGATGATGCTCAAACTACTTAAGGATGCATCGAGGTGGAAATGAAGCGCAGCACTGTCCACGGTCCCCATTGTCACCCCACCAGCCTGCAAGGTCTTCCTTCCTGCAGTCTCACTGGGGTTCCAGCTCAGCGCTTGGCTCATTCATTTCCTTTGTAGCCCTCCCAATGCCCTGCCCAGCACTTCTCAATGAAGAGCTGCTGGCTTCCTCCCAGAGGACATCAAGGGCAGCCAGCACCACTTCCTCCCAAGTCCCAAGTGTTGTGTTCCACAGGTGACTCAGGCCTGCACTGGGACAAGTCAGAGCTACTGCTTCCCCTGGGTCTCCTTTGTCACTGTTTCTCAGCTGTCTCTCATCCCATTCTCTAGAGTTGCTGTTACTCCTTGAATGGATAACAGGGATCGAATGTCAAAGCTCAGCAGTTTAAGAAATTTATCCATTTGGGCCTTATACTTTCAGAGCCTGATTTAACTGCAGCAATTTTATTTCATTTGCATTAGAGTTTTGCAAAAGGCCAGCTCCAATGCTTCTACACAGTTTGTGTCTAAGATGTGGATTTGAAGAATGGCAGATGATTAAATACCTGCCCTATAAGTGAAATTATAGCTTGGAGGTTGGGTCAAGATACACTAGACTAGAGGGTCAGGGAGATAGCTCAATATCAAAAGTGCCTGCCTGATAAGATACACTAGACTGGAATTATCAATAAAGGATTTGGTAATGTTTTTCACACAAATATCCAGATCACTGTGAACACTTACAAGATCAATGCAGTGGATTTGGAAGGAAGAGGGCAGGAAAAATTAGCTTCTCGGAGGGGGAGACCCTTCTTCAGGGAATCCCGAAGGACTGGTGCCACTGGTCTAAACCAGAAGATGGATATGTAACATACAGAAGGCACAGAGAACCAGGTGGACACAGGTCTGCACAGGGTTGCAGAATGTGACAGGAGGCCTCACCAAATCCCACCTGGCTGGGATTAAGCCGCTTCTTACCTTCTATGTAGGATTTACTCAGAGTCCAGGAAATGAACTAACTCATAGCCATGTGGAAATTGAAAATCTTACCACATTTAGGAAAATCAGAGAGGAATTTTGAGGATTCATTGATTCAACTCATGTATGTTATCAGGGAAGTCACAGATGCTCAGAGAAAGTGCATGGGAACCCTTGTTCTCTGCACCCTCAGACCTCTCCAGAAATGCTACCAAGAAAGAGATGATTCAGTGTTGTCTTTCCTCATAAAAAGGAAGTTAGAGACAGTGCCTGGCAGAATAGAGTAATAGAGCAGGAACAGCTGCTGGTCCCTGCTTGGGACACAGGGACAGCTAGTAAGAACACAAGTTTGCCCCTCCAGAGTATGGATTGGAAACCAAACTCTGTCGTCATTTGGCTTTGTGCTCACAGATATGTCTACTAAAGCCTCACCTCTTACTGGAAAGATAGACTCTACAGCCTACTTCTGACGGTTGCTGTTGGGATTGCATCCCCCTCCTGTAGGTATCATAGTTCCTCCCTGGATCATGTGTTTGAACTGAGCAGAATTAACTGTAATAGTTTATGTATTGCTCCCTTAAGCATCACATATACTAAAATAGTATATATAAATTTCCTTGATGTAGCTTGATCCAGGGGTTTCCTACACATTTTTGTGACTTCAAGTTTGAGTCCCAGAGTTTGGCACCTACTCTCACTAGGTCCTAAAATGAGTATAATGATGGTAGCAGTGGTGATAATGATTAAAACGGCGGCAGTGGTGGTAGTGGTGGTGGTGGTGGTGGTGATAGTGGTAGTGACAGTAATGACTATGGTGGGGGAAGATTATACTGGTGGAGATAGTGATGGTGATGATGGTCAAGGCAATGGTGATGTTCATAATGATGGTCATTGTGGTGAGGTTGTAATGGTGATGGTGGTGGTAGTGGTGACATTAGTGATGGTGGTAACAGTAACAATGGTAATGATGGGGATGACAATGATGGTAAGGGTGCTGGTGCTGGTGGTTGTGAGGATGATAATAATGGTGATAATGTGCAACTCCCAGTGACTAAGTCCTTCTCCTTGTGAAGTTCTAGTTCAGATAAGCCATGTAGCATGTGTGTTCGCCATGGCACGGTGTCCAGCCTTATGCCCTGTCATCATTTTAGGCTACTTTGTGGAGAGAGAATCTCTGATAGAAGTTATGACCAGAAAAGGGGCAGAGAACAGATATGCTGTGTGCTACTGTCAGGTCGTCCTAGCAGAAGAGCCAAGAACTAGACAGAAACATGATGTGATGCATTTGTCTAGAGAGCAATGTCCTATCAAGTTCTTGATGCTTTTTTTTATTTTTTGAAAGCTAAAAACCAAAAAGGAAGAAAACGCTGCCACCGTGCAGAATGTCCAAGTAAGTGCGTCATCCCGTATCATAAGGTTCTCCAGCCATTGGCACCACCTTGCCCCTCACTGTGTACGACCATGCTAGACTGGAGTGGCCAGCCAGTCTCTCCTAGGAGCAGACATTTCCAAGACACTTGCCTCGTCGCTGCCCGTTACAGCACTTGGCCACTTACAAGTGCCAGGCTGCACCAAGCTTCAGGGTTCCAGGAGGAAGGAGGACAGATGTAGAGGGAAGGGACCTCAGCATTGAGTCAGGCTGGTTCACACAATCAGATCCACCATCACAACCTGCATGCTTCAGATCACTTACCTCTGTTTCTTTAGCCTCCGGTTTCTCATATTTAAAATTGGAGAGAGAGAAGCATGCCTATTTAGGTGGGTGGCCTTCAACGTGTGGACTGCACATACCCGGCCTAGAAGCTGGTCCCTAGGCAGCACTGAGGCAGAGTGGCCACTGTTACCCTGCCACTGAGCGATCAGTCCTGTGGTATTGGCTGTCGGCCCTTTCAGTCCCTCCCTTTCTTCCCATATTGTATTTCTTTTGGTTATTTCATTTCTGTTTGAGCCGCAGGGTAAAGAGACTTATCTGTATTGTTTCTTCTCCTATTATTTCACTATATTACCTGCCACATACACTTTCTTAATAAAAGAATGGAAAGTCAGTGCTAAAATGAATCATTGGAAATTGCTACAGCTGATTTAGTTTTCAATACTGGGGCAGTGACAGTATTGTACTGAATAATATCTCGCTACATTGCCCAGGCTGGCTTTGAACTGCGATCTTTCTGCCTCAGCCTCTTGCAGGCTTTCTACCTTAGCCTCTCAAGGAGGTG